CCTGCCAGGAACACAGATACACGCATGCACGCACACATGCGGATGGGTGTGCACTCTACTCACTCACTGTGCACGTGGACACACAGACACAAATGCAGTCTCCCTGCCATGAACAGAGATGCACGCATGCAGACACACACACACACACATATGCACACACAGAAGCAGATGCATACAGGTGCCCTGACATGCACACACAGATGAGCACACATGCACAGAGATGCACACACACACACTCATGTGAAGACACAGACACATACATGCAGACAGACAGACAGCCACATCCCTTTCCCTTCCCAGGACCTCCCCCACTCTCCATCACACTGAGGCAGCCCCTTCCCCTCCTACTTCCCCCCGCAGCTGCCCCGGTTCCGTCTTGCTCCCCTGGCCCATTGCCCTGACCAGAAGGGAGCTGCTGTCCTGCTGTGTCCCTGCAGCCACACATGTGCATGGCCTGAGCTGGCTCAGGCTGGGAGCCCCACGCCCCCTCATGCGGGTGGTGGTGCTGGGATGGGATGGGTGGCTCTGAGGGGGTAAGGTGAATGCTGTGGGCCCCCCAGTGCCTGCCTTGCTGCATCGCACAGCGTAGCTCCTGGCCTGCCTCTCCTCACCCCGCCTTTAGAAGGCACCTGGTTTCAGGTCTAATAGCCATTCTTTTGTAGCAGCAGTTCAGCACATCTGATTGTCATAGTTCATGTATTTGTGGTATTATTCTGTCTCAGCTTTGCTGAGGTCTTAAGTTTTGCAAAAAGGTGAAAAAAAAATGTGCAAGAGATAAATGCTACCTCTGCCTGAGTTTGGAACAGCTGGCAGAGGAGGAGCGATGAAAGTTTAATAGTTTCACAGTTTCATAGTGCTTAGGGTTGAAAGGGACCTAAACAGATAATCAGGTCTGACCTCCTGCCCCAGGCAGGAATAGGTGCCATGGTCATATCACCCCAGCCAAATATCTGTCCAGCCTCCTCTTGAAAACTCCCAAGGTAGGAGAATGTACCACCTCTCTTGGGAGCCCATTTCAGAGCCTGGCAGCTCTGACTGTAAAGTAATGTCTCCTGATGTCCAGCTTGAACCTTCTCTCTAATAATGTGGCCATTATTCCCAGTAACCCCAGGTGGTGCCTGGGGGAACAGAGCCTCCCCTAATTCTCACTGATTCTCACTGGTGAGTTTGTAAATGGCCACCAGAACCCCTCTCAACCTTCTCCTGTGGAGACTGAATAGGTTCAGGCCCTTTAGCCTCTCCTCGCAGGGCCTGCCCCACTGCCCCTTGACCATACAAGTGGCCCTCCTCTGAACCCTCTCAACGCTAGCCACATCCCTCTTGAAGTGCGGCGCCCAGAACTGGATGCAGTACTCCAACTGCAGTCTGACCAATGCTGCATATAGGGGAAGGATGAAACTATGAAACTATGAAATTGCTCCTTAATCCTGCGCACCTTTCTGGGACCAGACAGGAAAGAGACAACTAATGGCAGCCATCTCAAAAATGCTGGAGCAAGTAAATAACTACGCATGATCTTCACTCCATTATTAATTATGAAGATTAGTATCTTCAGGTCAGTTAGTAAATTTGCAACCTAATTAAACCACTTCCTTTGCATCTTCCCTTTCATCTTGCTTAGTCAGGACAAGTATTTTTAGATAATTTGGCCCCAAATAGCTATAAAAAAATCTCTATTTACTGTTCATTTTATTGACAATGTTTATATGCCACTGAACAGTAAGTACTATCTGTAGTATTCTAATTAAGCACAAATATTTTGGTAGCCCTTATGGGGAGCTGGATGCACTGGGTATTTCAACCTCTCTCATAAGTATCAAGTTGAAAAGCATATTAAAATTGCTCTCTCCCCCTCTCTGTGGTGCAAAGATAGTTTCAAAGGCATTTTTTTATTATCAGGACATTGAGTTCAAAAATTCCAGAGTGCGTGTACATGTTTTCCTAGTCTCCTTGATTACACAGAATGCTTCAGTCTACTGTTACCAGGAAGAGTTTTTTCACTTATCATCAAACCTGAGAGCAGTCACAGGAAAAGATGAGGCACTGCACATTGAATGCAAAAATAATGCAGTTTCAGAACTCACTTGGTTTTCTTTCTAGTGTCAGAAGCTTGTCCTTTCTGAGTTTCTTTAGGGCATGGTAAAAGTAGGAATAAAGTCAAACTTGATTTGGAAGCATAATAAGAAATATCTATATAAAATGGAAGTGTTGCATTATTAGTTGAATGCATTAATATACTGCCATATTCAATGTTCATGATTATTTTATTTCACAATTGCGTTTACTATATTAATGGGTTGCGTTCTTCCTACATGCAAACATTTACAATACTGAGCTTCCAGTTTCATAAATATCAATCCTCAAACATTTTACTTATTCTAAATGAGCATTCCACAATATTTAATTATCAGCCTTTCAAAAGGTCGTAAGAGTGCTAGGTGCCAAATTCCAATTAACTTTCTATAGATGAATACTGAATTTTCTTAGGGTACAAATTTCCAAAATTGGAACAAATGGAAAAGACTTAAGCTTCCCCTCCCCCACTTCTTAGGGAAGAAAGAAAAACAATATTTCAATAAGGAAATTCAAATGCATAATTTTCCTACACAGTTTATGAGCATTGAAAGGACTTTTATAAGAACAATAGCTGTGCTTGTGGTTAGGTCTTGTACAAACAAAATAACATGGGAAGGGGTTCTTTTGTTGGAAGGAGCCAGCACAAACACAATCCTCCTCATTTAAAACTACCCCATTCTATCCTGTGAATGGAGAGAAAATTTGCACAAGTACTACCCCCTTACTCTGTCCACCAGGCATAAATATTTTGTCATGGTGAATAGTTTAATAGACTTGAACCCACACCAACAATATCAACAACTAGAGCCCAGTGAACTCTGAGATGACAATATTTGGTGCTATTTGTCTCTTATTCCTGTTAGATTAGTCTTTTCTATTCTATTCTACAGCCTCTTTATGACTAGGAGCAATCAAGTCATTAGCAACATACACAAGTCTAAATCCTGGAATATGTATGTAGAATGCTATCAGCAGGGATCCGGGTTTTCTGTTTCCCATGGAAAAATGAAGTAAAACATGGATTTCCCCCCTTACTGGATTAAAATGCAGATTTCTCATTTTAGCAGAGAAACCCATAGATTTTGCAATTTTACGAGCCCTCTGTATGCTGGCAAGGTTACAGCCTGCAAAGGGCTGCGAGGGAATGGGAAGAGGGTGCTCAGGCAGGCAGCCTGGAGAGAGCAGCTCCTGCAGGTAAGTGGAGGAACTGAGGCCCCCATAGGGAGGAAAGGAGGGAGTTGAGCAGGGCTGGGCTGGGTCAGTTGGGATTAGGATAGGAGTGTGGGTGGCTCATTTGGGGGGCAGCTCCTGACTGCTGCACACATTCCCAGGGGGCAGGCAGGACCTACACCCCCCTGATCTGTGTGTCGGGCAGGGTGGGCATAGGCTGTTTATTGCAAGCTCAGGCTCCCACCCTACTGCCCTCACCCTGAGGCCTCCACAGCCTGGTGCTCATGACCCCACGTTGCAGGGAACAGCCGAGCTGAACAGGAAAACTGTTTGCTGTTGTAAGATCCATGTTGCCCTGCTGATGCATCCCCTGTGTCCATGGGGCCGCAATGAGGGGCACAACCCCACACTGCTGTCTCCACTGACCCCGCATGCACAGGGGTTGTTGCCAGGGCAGCACAGAGCTTGCAGTGGGAAGCAGCTTTCCTGTGCAGCTCTGCTGTTCTCTCCAGAGCTGGGTCATGCCTGCTGGGCTGCAGGCCTCGAGGGAGGAGAGCCGGGGAAGGGTGTGGGGGGCCTTTTATTTTATTTTAATCACAGATTTGGGGGGAGGTTATCAGAGAATTTGTGATTTTTTTTTTTTTTAATCAGGGAAAACCAGGATCCCTGGCTATCAGACACTTTTGAGTGAATAGGTTTTTCTACTGTGGCCCATTACTTAGCTGAGTAAAACAGCTGGAGAAACAGAGAGCCCCTGAGAATTCTGTAACTTGTCAGAGGATTACCCTTTACACATGCTGCAGAAGCTGCTGCCTGAACACTTGCTTATTTACTAACCCTTGAATAAGGGCATATTGGGATTGGGAGAGCTCACCGCATGCAGACTTGAGAAAATTTTAGACAGAAATGCAGCATGGACAGCCTATAGAGGCTACTATAACCTAAGTTTGGCAGGGGTCTTTTCAGTCCCAAAAACATGCCAAGGAGGGTGCAAAGTAGCTAACAGATGTCTTAGTTCCCCGCTTTGGAACTTAGGTTGTGATTTTAGTGTTGAACACCCTGAAGTCAAAAAGCAATTCTAAGGCTCTAACATTAGAGAATTCTGAGCACAGCTACAAAGAGCACTTACTCTGAGGATCCGGAATTTTAATGTGAATTGTGTATGTTTTCAAAACCACGAGAATAATGAAATATAAAACTCTAGAACAATATTTGAACTAAAAAAAACAACTTTTAGCATTTTCATCTAAGTTGCTGAATGTTCTTAGGCTTGTACTGATTACATTTTTTCTTATTCTTTATCTAAAACACATTTTAAAATGAATTATCTTATTTTAAAAATCAATAGGTTTTTGCTAAATGCTGCAACATTTAAGACCAAAAGCAACTGATATTTAACAACAATTTAGTTGCACATTCTAGAAGGAATATTAAAAGCAGCAAAATCTGTAGAAATTATATGATAGTCCCACACAAATTCTGGTCAACCCTTGCTTTTAAGCTCTTTGCTAAACAGAATACACAGGATGCATATACAGTTAATTGTGCACTACATTTAAATGCATGGCTCCCATAATATTAAACAGGCACTATTATTCAGAAATGGATAAAGCTGAATTGTTTTAAAGGACTTATTTGACTGTCACTTGATCAGTAAATGTAGTTCAACATTATTTTTCTATAACTGCCTTTCAGAACAACTGTTCCACTAAGAAGGATATTTGGTTAAAAAAAAAACATTTAAAGCAACTTACTAATTTCACTCTGTGACCAGGAGTAGCACTGATTTCCCATGTGCATTCCTTCCTGCTTGGATACTTGTCTGGCCAGTTAGGACTTGTGATGATTCCATTTGGACTATGGATCTTCTGTTCACACTCAGCTGTGCCAAATAATGATAACACCAGTTAGTTTGGAAATCTGTATTAAGATGTAACCAGAAAAGCAGAATTTTTTAGGCCAGAAACTCATTAAATGGAAAAGTTTTTGAGGAAGCTAACTAATCTCATCTTCAGTCCGCTATCTTGTTCATCGCCTTTGGCAAACACATTATGGAGATTAATCCAGTAATCCTTGTTTACTGATGGACATGAAGTTTACAGTGTTGTTTACAATGGATCAACATCACCTTATAAAAGCAAATAATATATATGGATAAGTCTAAACCATTTATCTAAATACAGTCAATATTTTCCCCATTTCCTTTACTATGCCTTCGTCACAAATAAAGTTCAAAAGGAAAATCCACAATAGAATTCCTATCAGAGCATTTAATGGTATTTCTAACCTTTCATTAGGTTTTCTGTCTTCCCATAAAGATATTATTAAATGATTTATTGAGACACTGGATGAAGACTGACACTGAATTCTGGTTAGCTACAGAAATGTGCTTTGTCATAACTGAATTATCAGAAGTGCCTCTACAAATAAATAAAACCATGAAGAATCTAAAAAAAACCCCAAAGGATAAAACTACCCCACCTGCTTTATCTTTCCTCTAATGTTCTCGAAGCACTTTAAAAATATCAGAGATCTAAGCAGCACAATTACTTTGGAAGAAGGTAGGTATTAATCTTCCAAAATTACTGGTGGAACAACAGAATCACAGTCCGTTAGCCATGTTGGTCTGCAGTCACCTGACTTGCAGAACTATCATCAACATATGGAACCACCCAGACATAACAATTTTTTAGCAAAAGGAAATCTCTGCATCTACCCATGAAGCCTAGGGTGCTGTTATCTTTAAATCATTCTAAATCTGTGGAACAGTAGGCAGTGTTGAAGTTAGAACCAAAATTTCAGAGCAGTTGCAGGTTTAGTCTTAGTGTCATTTCTGACTTGCACAACTGTGATTTGCCACTAGTTGGCCTGGTGAGCAGGGGCCAGGGCTCCACCCCTTCTTTGGAAGTGGAGCAAGGTGGGGTAATTATGGCAAAAGTATGAAACCTGGGAAAGCATGCCTCTCTGGGCTCCATGCTTTCACTGCCCAGTCGTTCTGCTTCCACTGCAGAGCTACTGCGAGTTAACCACAGAGATAGCATGGACTCAGGGAAACATACTTCCCAGGAGGCTTGGTACTAGGCAGTACTGCCCACCTCACCCCACCATCCTCAAGAATAGCCACCTCTCCCCCAATTCTCCTGGCTAGAAGAGAGCTAAGTGCCACCCAGATGTGGGACAAAGGCTCTCTGAGGGGAGGGCAGTGTGCCTGACATCCAGCCCAAGGTCCCAGAATAGGTCTCCTGGGGTCCCTGGAGCCAACAGTGTGGAGCCACATGGGTTGGGGTCATACCCAATGTAGGTGGGTGGGAGGACTGGCCCATGGGCAGTGAAATCTGTGACGGTGGAAAGCTTGCCATAGGTAGAGGGGCTGGGAGGCATGCATCCTGGATTGCTGGGTGACTGCAGATTCATCACTATCTCTGTGGAGAAGACTAATAACACCCTAGTTAGAGTTAGGTAGAGTCGCCTAAAGATAATCCTCACCCAAGTGGCATTACATTAAAGTTGCACAGATGGATACTTAGCACAGTTTAACACCCTTTAATGCATGGACACTCCTTATTTAAGAGCCTTTAGAATGGTTTAAAGGTAGCCTGTAACACCACTCTAAGGTGCTGCCCTCTGCCCTCAGGATTCATGGCATCTGACCATGATATAAAAAACTTAGTGTAAACAGGGGCTTTTATGTTTAACACTGCATAAAAACGCTATGCCTCAGCTACTTGAGACAAAATTAAGTAGGACAGACCTTGTTTACAGTGAGTACCCTAACTCGTCAAGGTTGCATTCTAAAGTAACCTGATTTGTTAATCAAGGTATCCAGGCATATAGATAGGGCTCCTCAAGTCGTCTTTGGGAAAGCCTGGAACAGAACACTTATCTCCTGTTCTCTAGTACTGTGCTATAGCTACTTTTCTTTGTTCCTCACTTGCCTAGGAAAGGTAGATGAATATAACTTTCTAAGACAGCTGCATTGTCTCTATTATCTGCTATTCAAATACCCCAACACTTACCTTCTTTGCAATCGTGTTTGTTTTCATGTAGCACAAATCCATTGCGGCACTGACAAACATAGCTTCCTACAGTGTTGATGCATTCGTGCTGGCAGCCACCGTTGTCCTTAGAACACTCGTCCTTGTCTAAGAAATATACAACATGGTTCTGTGACCAACACATCTATGCACAGTTTGTAGAAACAAAAATCGTAAAGCTTTATAGGAACGTTTAAGTCCAGATAAGGATAAACTAATTGCCATGCTTCTCAGTATAGCAATATAATTGTACCCTTAGCTCTACCCATTCATTGTTCAGCCTGCAACCTTGCACCATGACAGAGAAATCTGATTGGATATTAGATTTATTTATTATTCTAGTCTTCAAAAAGGACAAAAATGTGGCTTAAAACAAAATAGAAAAAAACAAACCCTTGTCCATGTTTGCTCTTCCAACTGGATGTATTGATAAGAATTTCATCAATATCTCAAGAATAGCTTTATTTCAGCAAACAAGGAGTTTTAATATCCTGTGTGCTTCATATTGGCTTCTATGGTAGAAGGATGATGTAATAACAGTTCCAAAGTTTAACAATAGTGATCAGGCCAAGCAAGGTTTCAGGCTCTGCACGTGTGGGTTATAAAAACATAAATTATTTAACAAAAACATTCTGAATAAGTTGATTTTTTTTCCAGCAGAAAAACAAATATGCTTCATTTTTAATGAACATAGACATTACCAAACACCTCAGAAGGGAAAATAGATTATTAAGGAGCATACAGAAGAACCCAGTGTTAATTGTTTCAGGGAGATCTGCAGCTTAGCATACAGTTCTGTTTATTAATGAATAATCTTTTAAAAGAGCTTTGGGTGTGTTAGAAGTAAAGCAGGTAATAGGGGAGGAAATATGAACTTCATTTAACAGCTACCAAAATCATTACAAGGAAATAAGCCAAACTAGATTAACAGGCAGTCATTCCAGCAAAAGGCATCAGCTGCCACCACTCCTGTCATTCAGCTGTTGTAATTTTAGGTGGGGCTGGTCAATTAAATCAAAACTGGCAGACTGGTCCCTACACACACACATAATACCATATTGCACAAACTTCTGGCATTTCACCATGCGGGGATGGGGAGGCAGGTTATGGTCATATCAGAGGAAAGATTGATTCAGAGCATGCATCTCCTTTATCTTCCTGCTCCCTCCAAAGTATTAATGGAAGTGTTATATCATAACAAAATTAATATGCAATGGTTCAGATTTTGCTTGGTACGGTAGGGATTTCTATAGACACAAAAGTTTCCATGTACAATTTAGGTCTCCTGTTATTGCTTAACTCATATTATATTATTTCTTCCTACCTTTGCTGAAGTAATAGCACAGCAAAAGAAATCTGCTGTAAGAGTTTGTACACATCAGAGCTTTACCCACCAACATGCAAGCAAAGTTTGACCAAATGACTTGCAAGCTGTTCAATAAATGCAATGTGTACTTATAATACATTGGCTATACAGAAATAGGATGATGATGTAAATTTATAGGAAAATCCTGCAAGTCAAACCCAAGCTTCTACTGCATTTTCATATAAATCACACATCTGGTTGCACTGAGAATGCTCAAGCACTTCTTGCAGATGTAAACTGATCTGAACATTAAGAAGCAGCTCAACAAATGAAAATAGTTCAGAAAAATGCACATCCTAGGGTTTACATCTGTGATCGTTTTGATTATGAAAGAAGTAAGCATAATAGCTCCAAAGTATGCTATTTGCAGAACAATACAACCCAGGCAGTCAATATCAAAAATCAATCTAAATTCAAACAAACATTTTAATCTTTCATATTTTCAAAAGCAAGCGCTAGTTAAGAAGGGGAGAGAGAAACACATGAGAAATTAGAAGACAATAGAAAATGAAACTCTATAGCTTTTTTTCTTCTAAATATTAGTAGCTCTTTTCTATTAGAAAAAGAAATGGAAGGTAAGATCAATGCATTCAAAGTTAGACACTCCAATAAAGTTCAGTCAAACAAATCTAACTTGATAAATAAATAAAAGCCCTTTGCTTTTGCTCACCTGCCAAATTGTCTGAAACAGAAACATTTGTATTAACATTAAATAAAGATGTATACTGTAGAATAATCTCTAAAGGGACAGGTGCCTAAAGAATGAGCATGTGCTGGACCCCTGCAGAGATCAACATTGTGCAAAACATTGATCACAAGGTAGGAGAAGTTCTGAAGCCTAGTGAAACTACAATGGAAATAATTATTTGCCCACAGTTAATGAAGGATGCATCGGTTGAACAAGCCTTACCCACATTTTACAAGTCAGTATAGATTTTCCATCAGGTCTGTAGCCCAGTTTTAAAATTCAGGAAAAATTAGTCTGTATTAGTTATAGAAACAAATGTTTTGCTGATTAAAAACAAAACCATTTGTTACGGTGACAGATGGAAATCAGTCTCCCAGTTTTGAATGGATGCTTTCTTTATGTTGGGTCCCCCCGCCCCCTCCCCCAAATATTCAGAACAGGGAAAGATCCATTCTTAACAAAATGTTAGATATAACCATTCAGAGGGCATGTGGTCATACCTCTGAGACTCTCAGAGGCCACCAGTCTGTGAATAATACGTACTCGGCCTGAAGAAACAACCTGTATCAAGTTCTTGCATGATTCAAAAACAAAAATTTTCTCTTTGCAGGAAGCTTTCTTGTCTGTGGGGAAAAAAATGTACCAGGATGGCACCAGAAGTGAATGTGTGCTCCAACACAAACCTGCTCAAGGGTAGAAACATTTCAGATTTTTCTCTTTAAATGCTCACTGAATAATCATCCACAATAGGACCCCAAGAAAGGTCATTTTCAAAGTGCACTGAATGTAGTTACTGTTTTAAATAATCATGAAAATAATCATACTAATTTCAAACCACAAAAAATAGCCTTACAGCTCATGATATATGGAATCATTTAGCAACATGTTGTGCTTGGTGTTTAATCTTCCCACCACTTACAAGCCTTATTTAAAGAAATGATTAGGGATACTTTCAGGAAGCCATCACTTTTTCTACAAAGAATGTTAAACATTGTTCCCCCACGCCTCCCCGAAAGCAAGGTCATATTGCGTGATTCAGAAGCCCGCCATTCTCTACAGTCAAAGTAGCTTAAAAACTAATTTACAGTTATATAACATTTGTTCTGCTACCAATCAAAAATCATCCTGAAACAGCCTCTGGTCCACCATATACAAATATACACAGTTGTTCTTAGCTACATAAGTGTGCATTATGAAAATCTGGGTGGCGGTAGTGTAGTGAAGAGGTAATAATTTATTATTAGAAGAAAATGGTCATGTTAATGGAATTCCGATCCATTTCTTCTGATCAACTAAAATGCACGTTTCAGACCAAGTGCCCATCTTGGTTCTTTTTACAAGCCTCCACTTAGGTTTTAGTATGCATTCATTAAAACTGTCATTCATGTCAGTCTTTGATACTAAGAGGTAGCTAGCCATGTTAGTCTGAAGTCAGGCAGAAGTAAAGCAGAAGAGCACTTTAGTGACTAACTTGTTCAGAAAGTAGTCTACTTTGTTAGAAGCTATGAATGCTCCATCAGATGTATCCAATTAATTACCATACTTAAGGGTGCATAGGTTGACACTGTGCATAGGTCAACTCCCAGCTTTCTGATCTGAAAGGTAAGGATTTCCATAGGCACAGTGTATAAGTCAGAGCCAGGCTCGGTGCTTGGCTGCCACAGCCCCATCGCATGTGAGCAGCGCTACTCATAGGGGATAAGGCCGCGCCAGCCAAGCACTGAGCCTGGCCAAGCCCAGCCCCATCCCAATCCCCATCCTCTATGGGTGGCACTGTGCTCGTAGGGGATGGAGCCGCTGACAGAG